AGTAGATTAATCTTTTGTTGGAAATTTACCTGCAAATATACAATACATGGGGATTTTGCTAGGGTCTCCTGCGAAATTATCACATCAAATTCCCACGAAATTCCCTTTTTCCACGAATTTTTTATTGAATATTTTCTGCAAATTTACTTGGAGGTTTTGCTGCGGAATTACATGCGAATATTTGCCATGAAAATCCCTAGGAAAACTCCTTTCTTTCACAATTTTTTACCAAAATTTACTACGATTTTTTGGTATTTCTTGCGGAAAAATCCGCAAGCAACTTACATAGGGATTTAACATTCCCAGGTAATGCACCTGCGACTAATTTTCCCCCAGGTAAATTACCTGGGGAATTCAAAATTCGCAGGTAATAATTACCCACGACCTTTATTCCTGCGGATTCCCGTTTGCATGAAAATCCCCAGGTAAATATTTTACCTACGAATTTTACATTATAATTCCTAAAAAAATCCCCATGTAAATGACACTTTTCTTGTAGTGAACAACTCCTGAAGAGCTAATTGTTTGCCTAGAAGACACATGACACCAGTAGTATCTGATAAATATTAAATTATGGATAATAAATGAAGGTTCTCGAAGATCTTATATACAAATATGTCATTCATATTATATGATTATGGTCAAAACATATGTTATATTAAACCTGAAGTTTGCTAATACAAATGACTATCATATTGAGACTACAAATGATTGGAAGATTGAAAATCTTCATGTTTCCACAATCATAGGGGATAAAATAATATGTATGTGAGAAGTTACCCGCCTTATTTTTATATCATGTATCACAGTAAATCAGAAGTTTACTAATGCAAAAGTAGTCACGGTAAACCAGAAGTTTATTAATGCAAAAATTTATGCCATAGTAAACCAGAAGTTTACTAAGAGATAGCACATGCCATGATAAACTTGAAGTTTTCATTTGCCATTTTTGAATGAGCTATTTAAGAATTCAGATAAGCATATATTGAAGAAGTAGAAGATTCTTCAAGAATTCTCCTGTGTTGCTTGTTCTCATAATAAATTGATTATACCAACTAAAGTTGGGACTAAGACCCCTGATTCTGAAATATATAAAAGGTGAATATTGGTCCATTCACCTGTCATGTGAACCACTTATAGATGCATATATATAAGATGTTTACATGTATGTTTATAGTCAACATGCAGTTTGGCATTTGAGATTACTTTTCTCAATTAAGAGCATAACTTTCAGCTTATGAAATCAAGACAGTTCATCTTGATAATGTTTGTTTATATCCAAGATGGTTTAGCATTGAATATCTCATACTAATGGCTAAACTATTGCTTATTACAAAGCTTCATGTGTTGGTCTAAGATATTCTAAATTGCATACATCAGCACTTATATGCATTAGACTAACAATATATGATAAAGTCCTCCCCTCACAATTAGTTTAGGATCAGAAACCAAATATTTTTACTATCTTTTGATGTGTGGTATATGATTAATTTCTCTACTACAATACATAAAGATATGTTTCCCAAAGAAGATTGAGGATATATGTTAATTTTTCTAACATTTGGGGGATGGAATAAACAGTTGAAAAATATGTTATATGAATCAAATTATCATTAATATGATCCTCACTTGGAAGATAATTCAAGTCAAATGCCAGAAGCATTTGCTGATCCAAAATTAAATATTATATTTCAGCTGCAAATACTCCTATTAAAATTAAAGTCCCTGAAGGATATAGTTTACTGTAAGCATGAAGCGTGGTAGACCAATCGGTTCCAAAGGTAATAATTCTTGAAAAATGGTCGGAGCTAATGATCAAAATGATCATAATGAGGAGGAAATAAGCTCTAGAAGAGCCCACGACATAACATTTCATGAAACTCCCAAAGAAGTTCAGGTACCTGAAAATAAAGAAAGTGATGAGATCTCAACAAGTTATGTCGCTTAGGAACTGATACAAAATAATCGTCGACGATATATTTGATACAATATAGTGCACAATATTATAAAAGATTGTGAGGATCAGACCAGCAGTCCAGACACTTGAAGATGTCATACCATTTAAATACAAGTCATAACCTATATGACTTATTTGATTAAATCTTTATGAAAATCCTTGAAGGATTTAAAATGTCTGAAGCATATAATTCAAAGTCTTGAGAAATGTACTCGATCAAATTATAAAGATCTTTGTACGGTTTAAAGCAACCTGGGCGCGTGTGGTGTAATCGCTTCAGTAAATATTTGCTGAAAGAAGATTATATAAATGGTGTTATTTGTCCATGTATTTTTATAAAGAAAATGTCATCAGAATTTGTTATACTTGCTGTTTATGTTGATGACATAAATCTTGTTGGAACTCCAGAACAGCTCCAAAAGGCAATTGAATATCTTAAGAAAGAATTTGAGATGAGAGATTTTGGAAAAATAAAAATTTGTCTTTGGTCTGCAAATTGAATATTTAGCAAACGAGATCTTTATCCATCAATTTGCTTATACAGAAAGGGTCTTTAAACGCTTTTACATGGACAAAACGCATCCATTAAGTACACCAATGAGTGTTCGATCGCTTGAAGTGAATAAGGATCCGTTCCGACCTCCAGAAGAGGATGAGAAATTCCTTGGTCCTGAAATACTCTATCTCAATGCAATTATTATGCATTTATGTATCTTGCTGATGCTAACAAAGGTGGTGCATATCGTATTGGTTATACCGATACAAGATTAGAATGCGGAAACTCAAATATTTGAAACAAGGTTTTCATCAAGGGGGAGTAAATTACATGATACACTCTTTTTCCTTACTAAGTTTTTTTTCACAAGGTTTTCCTTAAAATGTTTTTAATGAGGCACCTAGCAATGCGTATTACTAAATATGTGTACTCTTTTTCCTTCACTAGGATTTTTTCCCACGTGATTTTTCCTAGTAAGATTTTAATGAGACACATTATCTTTTAAATGAATATCCAAGGGGGAGTGTTATAAATATATTATATTATGGATGTTCATTTAGTACTCCGTTGTAAATAAGCTTCCCGAAGAAGCTTATCCATAGACTCCTCCGTAAATATGTTTATCTATTTAGTACTCTATTGAAAATAAGCCTCCTGAAGAAGCTTATCACTTCAGTACCCGATTAATATTACCCCCGGTAGAAGATTATCCATATCGGGTATAATAAGTTTATCCTTTCGATATTCCGTTATGGATAAACATTACCTTCGGTAGAAGATTATCCATACCAGGTACAATGAGCTTATCTTTGCAGTACTCCATTATGGATAAACATTAGTTTCAGTAGAAGATTATCCATATCTGGTGTAGTAGCAACTTACACAGCAGCTTGCAGTAGCAGCTTACACAACAACTTCCTTTCTTCTATAAATAAAAGAGATTTCAGTTCATTATGTACATCAATTTGAATTCGAATAATATATCAGTTTCTCTCTATACTTGTCTTTACTTTAAAAGTCTTTATTTTATAACATACATTTATTATTAATTTTTAGTTTAACAATTTAATATATATACAGTCAAACCTCTCTATAACAGCCTCATTTGTTCCGAATATTTTTGGATGTTATCGCGAAGTGCTGTTATAGAGAACATATATTATAAAATAACATAAAAGTTGGTTCCGAAAAAGCTTGGGTTTTATAGTAAAATGTTATTATATAGGGATGTTATAGAGAGGTGTGACTATAGTTCCCTGATTAAACTAATCATGAATAACAACATACTCAATTTGATCTCACAATTGAGGTCTGATAAGGACATGGTGTATGTAAACCTTACTCGTACATAATAATGTTACTTCCAATACTAAAGAATAAAATGTTCTTATGAGAAGGTATTCTTTTTAGAAATATCTTTCTTCAATATTCCTTGTAAGTACTACCTTCGTCTTAATTTTATGTGATTTTCTCGCTTTTCAAAAATATTACTAACATTGACAGATAATAGTAGTGTTATGTGACACTTAATCACTGTGCAAGTAGCCAGGGTGGAGCTAGCTAGCCCATCGAGTACGAATTCGGCAAAACTCAATCGCTTTGGTCCAATTCATATATCTGTTTTAAAAAATTTATTGAATATATACAAATTATTAATTTAGAACTTAATAATTTAAAAAAACTAGAACTTCAAACCCATAAGTTCTAAATCCTGACTCCACCTCTTCAAGTAGCATAATAAACTAGTAGTACTAATACTCCTAGTAACTATGGTAAAGCATTATTAAGTGAAGAATTGCCTCCTCGGTTGCATCAGAACTGTCCCTGTTAAGGTTTTCTGGTTAAGTTCAATGCTCCATCCCATTCATTTCTTTTTTAAGTGAAATTCTTGTACCAGCACACAATAACAATATAACAATAATAAATCTGCTTTATACTATTGAAGGCTGAGACAAAAAACCAAACTTTCACGTGAGTTTGTCTATTGTCTACAAAAGGGTGGCTCCTGTCCCTTCTCAATATGATGATTTGATTGTATCTTTTGTCACTAGTCTTTGCAAATTTACCGACAACTCACTTTGATTCACCCGCTATACCTTTTTATTTACTACATCGTCTTTTTTGCTTCTCTGAACTTTTGTACTACTACATCGTTTGGATACTTTTTTTAAAGAAAATATTTTTCCTCAAAAATTTAACTTTCTTACAGGAAAAATATTTTTATATAAAAGATATGTTTTCTAGATACAAAAATCATGCGCAGAAATATCTTTACAAGTCTACTACAAGCTTAATTCGGCCTACCCTTATCAAAAAGAGATTCACATATAAAATATATTTTTTTGTCTCAATTTACATAATGGTAGTATTTGTATAACAGAAATGGTCCAAAAATACCTCTAAACTGTAGGACTAGAGCCTTTTCATATCCTTTGTCGTTACTCAACTGAAGCACAAACACCCTTTGCCTAAACGGCTGACCACTAAAAATAATTAAACTTATTATTCAGCACCTTTTTTTGCCACGTAGACTTAGTTACTAGCACCATACTTAATTTACTTATCAATTATCAACCCTTTCCCTCGTTTGTTTCTCCCCAACAAAATCAAAAGCCCCTTTATCATTTTTCCCAATTTCTGCTGCGAGGGTTCCCGAACTAAGGAGGCTTCCCACGAGATTTCTATGAGAGATTCAGTTATTCCATGAAGGTTAGTAGCTTTTATACTAATAGATTGTACTATGAAAGTGGGGGTCGGGTTGTAAAAGCTATATGGCTTGTATGGATTCACTTTTCGTTTGTGTAGAGGAACAAATGATAGAGGTGTTTTTGCTAAAATTATCTGGTAAAAATGATAGTTTGATGTATAAAGGTGTGTCTTTTTATGTTTTTATCGGGTTCTTGGTGATCCTATTTTGGTCTGCTAATTTTACAGTTTTTTAATTCGATTACTTTATTCTTTTTTCATAACTGAAGTAGTCCATATGTATTTGTTTGTTTCTTCTTTTGCATGTGACTACTTCCCAGAATGATTGACAAAGTGAAAATTATGGGGGTCACTGGGTCATTTCAACCGAGTTAGGGTACAATAAGAATCTGGTGCACAAGTGGACTGATGTTGATCCTGATTTGTTATCTGTTCGAGACATTAGCGAAGAGTTTACCTCTAAGTTAGGGTTTAATGAAGTTAAGCAGTGTTGGTGATAGGCCCATCCGGTAAGTATTATATAGTTGATAATGATGATGGAATGAGGTCATTAAAGTGTCTTATTTCTTCTCAATTTAGTGTTATTAATTTCTTTGCTGTTGAGGATTATGAGCTTGACCTGACTGCATTTGCACTCAATATTATACATCACAAAGAAAATTATGATGTAGATGTTGCGACTGTTGATGAGTGCGAGCTTGACCTGACTTCCTTATCACGTAATATCATACATGATAAAAGTAATTCTGATGTAGAAGTTGTTGTTAGTGAGTGTGAGGAAGGAGATAATTTGTTTGAATTTGGTGCATCTGACTTGATGAGTATAATCCTGAGGAACTTGAACTTTTTAACCAAGAGAGGAGGAGAACTTGTAAGTGGTAATCTAGAAAAATTTAAAGAATTGGAGTTGGTCATGACCTTCAAGGATATGAAAGAAGCAAGGCAATTCATCAATTTCTATGCTGTAATTAATAAGAAAGGATTGAGCGTTAAGCAAAGTGATTCAACCAGATCCAGGTATTTATCTGCAGATGGATGCCCTTCTGTTTGTCTTATCTCTCAGGATAGAAACACCCAGGCAGTTAAAATTAAAACTTTAAAGTCAAAGCACACTTGTGATGATGCTTTTAAGAACAAAAGAGCTGATTCAGCTACATTAGCTCATTACTTCAAGAATAAAGTCTAAAACAATCCCAAGTTTAAATTTAGTGAAATGAGGGGGGAACTTGAAATAAGCTTGAGGCATATTCCCATGAAATTAAGCAAACTAATTCTGGCAGTGATATTGTTATAAACATATCAAAGGAGGCCTTATTGGAGGAAAAGAGAAGATTCTTGAGAATCTTCATATGCTTTCATCCTTTGAAGCAAGGTTGGAAAAATGATTTGAGGCCTTCTATTGGTTTAGATTAGACTTTCTCAAAAGGAAGGGTTAGGGGTCAACTGTTGGTTGCTATTAGCCAAGACTCCATGAACCATTTTTACCCAATAGCATGGGCTGTGGTGGACAAAGAAAACAGCACGACATGGACCTGATTTATGGATATGTTGAAGAGGTCTTTGGACCTTAAAGATGATGCTGGAACAACATTTATTTCAGATATGCAGAAGGTGAGTCATATTTCAGTTTTTTGGATTAGTTTAAGTCATATTAATTCTGATTTCAACTTTATCTTACCTTATGTTTCGTTTATGGCAGGGACTGTTAAATGCTGTGTCGAGTGTATTGCCAGAAGCACATCACAGGTGTTCTGGCAAATTGGTTTAAAAAATGGAGGAGTGATGAAATAAAAAAATCAATATGGTGGTGTTCTTGGAACACTTATGAGGAGGAATTTGAAGACCAGTTGATAAAATTAGGAGATTTGTCTGAAGATGCTACAAAGGATATATTACATTACCCACCATTGGTGCAGAGCTTTCTTTGATACACAATGTAAGAATATGATGGTGGATAATAACTTTACTGAATCATTCAACGCATGAATTTTGGAGGCTAGAAGCAAGCCTATCATCAAAATGCTTGAAGAAATAAGGATCAAGGTAATGAAAATGTTGGCGAACAATGAAGCTAAAGTGAAGACTTGGAATGCAGACTACAGTCCACAAGCTATGAAACTATATAGTGATTACAGTAAAATTTCCTCACATTGCAATATACACTTTAATGGTGATCATGGATATGAATTTTCAGAAAGTGAAGATAGACACACTGTAAATCTGGAGAGGAAGAGATGCACATGTAGAATATGGGACTTGGGTGGAAAAGATGCAGCCATTGAGGGGTCAAAAATACTAGAAATTTGATCCTTCTCAAGACATGGAGCCACCTGATGTTGTGAAAACTGTTGGCAGACCCAAAGTTAAGAGAAATAGGGAGCCAGATGAGGCAAGGAAGAAAAAAAGGAGAATGGAGTCAATCAAGAAAAGGGACTCAAATTTTTTGCAGCAATTGTGGTGAGCCTAACCACAATGCAAGGGGTGTTTCAAGGTACAAATTACAGTATTTTGCATTTATTAGATTGCATTGATTAGATTCAGTTTAGGGGAGATCACACATGCAACTCAGTGCCAACTAAGTTGCCTTTCTTACCAAACAAAGAAACATGGATGGGGAAGGCAGCCATAACATCCAATCAGTTGCAAGAACAAGTCAGAAAAAAGAGAGTGAAGAAGATGGGGATAAAGGGTATCCGATATAGATATAGTTGTTGGATAGTTAATAATTTATGAAGACTAGTATTTGGTAGTTGGACAGTTATGCTAGTCTTTTGACTTAGCCATCCGGTGTTTGATTACATTTAGTATTTTTTTTGGCATTGATTGAGCACCTGATAGATAGCCTTTTGGAATGATATTTATTTGTCTTGGTGAATTTGAAGTTTGTGGACTCTTTTATAGATTGGAATTGCTAGAATTGTGTAGTGAAGTTTGTGGCCTCTGTTATAATCAACATATCTCTTTAGTACTGTTACAACTACTCAATAAAAAGGCAAGTTCTGAAACTTTTATCACTGTCAATCCATTTGCTAGCTGCTGCTACATCTTCTGTGGGTTCCATTTTTCTGCTCCTTCAATTTCTTCTCCAAATAGTCACTGGATTGTTAAGCAACAATAACAGTAGTATCATCAACTTTTCCTCCTCTTATGACTAAACCATTCCCTTTCAGCTGCTTACCAATTTCTTTCCATATGAACCAACCTGCGCATTTGGCTTTCGATCATCTTTTTCTCTACTACATCAGTAATTTTGGATTCACTTTTTGCATCCAAATAGTTGGTATCTCCATAATTTCAAACCAAACTCATTACCAAGGCCAACGTGCCACACAAATGACTACAAAAAAATAATGAAAATTTTATGGCAAAGAATTTTCATTGCACTTCAGGGATAGAACATCCCTTTTAACATACATACTGGAATAAAAAAGCAGAATAAATGTTAACAAGATCGAATATTTGTTCAAAAGATTCATCTACTAGGCTACAATTAATCCAACATCTCAATTGTCATACCATCTTCTAAGACGCGATTATTCCAACAAAACAACACAAGATACAAATAACAATCTACTGCTTGAATACTTTAATTTTCAACTTTCGGGTCACTCCAACATCATGTACTTAGCAAATTCTCAAGATCCGCCACCTTCTTCTTCAAAACATCATTTTCATTCAACATTTCAGTACCTTCAACTACCACATATTTTTCAAGACCAATCACCTTCCGCTGCAAAGCATTTCTTTCACGTTAAAGCCAATCTTTTTCCTTCTTTAAATTGCATATAAGTTCTGTAACTCTAGGTAGAAGCTCATTATCCTCCCATTCCCAATAAGCACATTTTTCTCCCTGTCCAAAAATTATAAAACAATTACTAAAAATTGTTCATCATACCAGTGCAAAAGAATCGGAAAAAGACATATATGACATTAAAAAGCTATAACTTATATCTGATTTCGAGCACTTGAAGAATCGTCTCCCAGCATTAAAGGGAGTCCAAGTCATCAAATGTGTAGCAACATCACCACAGTAACAAGTCCTTCTTGGCCCAAAAGAGACAATTGAACGAAAGATATTATTTTTAGTTGTAAAGGTGGAGAACTGACCAAGAAGACAGGAAATTTAACTCTGCCTAAAATTATTTTCAAAGAGAAGAGATGATGAATCCTTCGAAACCCTAGCAGCGGAAATTGGGAAAAATAATAAAGGGGCTTTTGATTTTGTGGGGGAGAAACAAACGAGGGGAATGAGTTAATAATTGGTAAGTAAATCTACGTGGCAAAAAAGGTGCTGAATAATATATTTAATTATTTTTAGTGGTCAGCCGTTTGAGTAAAGGGTATTTGTGCTTCAGTTGACTAACGGCAAGGGTATGAAGAGGCCCAACTTTTAACGAGGTATATTTGCTCCTGGTCGTGTAAAGTTTAGGAATATTTTTGGACCGTTTCCGTTTGTATAATTAACAATAAGTTGATTTTGAACTTTACATTTTACTTTTAATAAAATAAGTTTTAATCGCATAAATATTTATGACTTGTCTTAAATAACTACAAATTTTAACTTAGCGTTTGACCATAAATTCTTAAATTATTTTCAAAAACCTAATTTAGGTGGAGTTTGGTTTGATGATGAAAATATGTTTGGACATTATATTTTTCAAAATATTTTTCACTATTTTATTTTTTTGGAAAAACATGAAACATGACATATATTCATAAATTCTTAAAACTTCAAAAATACCCAACAATAATAAACAAACAAACTTGCTAATCTTGTATATGTAGAACCCTCATCGATGCCATTCATTATCATTATCATCAACCATACATAGTCCGGAACATTGATAAATTTGGCACAAATTTGTCATTTTTGTAATGAACTACATAATATACTATTCTAAAATCATAACCTGATATTTTAATATCAAATGCTAATAACACAATTACTAGCTACTACAATTCGTCAAATTGCAACAATATTACAAAATCCATCCAATCCAAAAAAATGATTGTAACTAGCTAATGGATTAGTTGGGTCATAATAGATGGTTGACTTTTTTTTTATAAAATACAAAAGTTTGGGATAATTTTATACATTTTTAAAAAATCCAACGGTAATATTTTGAGCCAAAAACATGTGTAGAGCTAGTTTTGGGATTTGAAAATTTTATTTTCAAAATCTGTCAAAATATGAATAAAATCTATAAACAAATAGGTTTTGCCAAAAATAAAATTAAATAAAATTAGCCAATATCTATGGCCAAACGGGGACTAAAACTTTTATGGGTCGTTTGGTACATGAGATAAGGATAATAATCCCGGGATAAAGTTTGAGATTAACCTTATCCTATATTTCGTTTGGGGTATTAATTAATTCGAAAATAATTTTTACATTAAAATGGTGGGATTAGTTATTCCATATAGAAGGTGTGATAACTAATTGCATAAAACAAGTAACATAATCCTGAGATTACTTACACCAAAGATTAATCCACCCTAGCATGGCGGGGTAAAATTGTTAGAATATACTATAAGTCATGCATATTGTTATAGTATTCTTTATGAACAATTATTTATTTACTTGTTTAAATTCAATAAAGTTTCATTTTAAATAGATCATGTGTTGGTTTGTGCGTCCATTGCTTACATAGTAGATGATTTAGTGTATAGAGTTTAGCTTATACACGGAAGATTAAATCATCGGTTCTTGTAAGACATAAAAGTTANACAATTGGTATCAGAGCCTACTCACGTCTAATTAAATAATTAGGATAAACCATAAGGATTAATATCATGTTCTATATGCAAGTTTTGAATTACATGCAAAGTTTATTTTTCTGAAAACCTGCACTGTTTTTTGGTGTGATTATCTGTTATGGATTGTGTTGATTATTCTGAAAACTTGATGTATCCTTTTAATATTTGTGATGTTGAGTTAGAATAATCTGAAAGTTGAATTTTATCATGTAAAACGGAAAAACAAGTTTTGCCGAATTAGGGCAGAAAATCGGAGGTCAAAAAGGTGACGGACTCCGATTGACCTGAAACTTGGCAGGTCCATGCGAAACGGCCCAGTGAGATGGTGTTTTTGCTGTTTTTCTAAAATTCTGAAATTTGTTTTAGTTGTTTTTAATTCCAGTAATTGTGGGGATCAATTCCCTTGGTCCCCGGGCTTAAAAAGTTAGTGATATAATGTTTTACACGTTGACGTAGGCCTTCTTCCATATCGGATAAAAATATTATGAATAATCACTATGTTATACTAGTCATTGATTATTTGTATTTACTCTCCATCTGAGTATGCATGTTGGTTCAATGGGACTAATATATGTTGAATGTTGATATTCACTTGGCTTAAATTAACAGTTTACTCTCCATCTGAGTATGACATGTTTAAGTTTATGGAGTGAAAATCTGTCATTATATATGTATATTGCAAGAATAGCTTCTTTCCCATCGAAATTTGTTGTTCAAGGTGCATAGATTGTATATATATAATGTGTTTTGAATTTTAATGTTCATAATACAAACTGATTTGATCTATTTAAATATTTAATGTCTCCCAGATTAACAATGACTGCTTTTAATCCCCTTACTGCCATTCTTACCCAAAACAAACTTGAGGGTCCAAATTATGTTGATTGGAAACGAAATTTGGATATTGTTCTAATTGCTNTTAGTGGGAGAAGGAAACCTAACAGGTTTTGAAAACGGTTTTGACCTAAAACGCAGCTATATATATGGATATAAGGGTTGGACGTTTTTGACAAGATTCTGACTGCGATTTCTACTAGAATTTTGCCCACCCAAAATTCTCCATTTTCGGTTATTGTTTGGGTAACACAGTAGAAGACCGTGGAAATCTGTTGGTGGTGTTTTCAACTGAGGAATTGGAGAACGACATAGATTTGTTGTGTTTACGCTTCAAGAGGTAATCCTAAAATCTCCATACGT